TGTTTTGTTTATACTCAAAGGTTTGAGGCATATGGGATTAGTATTATTCTTGTGTTTCACCTTGCATGTTTTGACTTCCAGAATAATTGAGTTTTTAAGAATAATCGAATTATTCAAACGGGCCACAGTCATTTATATGTTGAAGTAGATATGAATGAAGACTGTCGTGAATTGGTGTGTGGATTGTCTAGAAGAGTATTAGACATAGCAATGTTTGCTGCAACGTTCATGAGTGCTTATGAATATGATTTGGCATTGGATTAACCACGCTCACTTGGATCACTCCATGAATTGTATTACGAGTGATTGGTGAGACGATAACATCTTATATTTTGAAACCGAGATGTGTGAGTTGTATCTTGCGAATCGGTTGCACATTGATATATGTACGCACTAGTAACTTGGTGTTATAAACATATTGTTGTGTGTAATTCGGTGAGTGGGTGCAAGCGAGCATTGTTCAAAGTTTATCCATTCCTTTTATCCAAGGTAGGATAAAAGCGATATCTTTGGGCCCTCGATGGTTTAGTGATGACATACGTAAATGCTCGGCCGGGCTAGGGCTAATTTGATTTGTTCAATTAGTCTGTCGTCATAAATCGGAAATCGAGAAGTAGTACAAAGAGAATGATTAGAAATCATGTCTCAGACGACATCAAGAATGGAGGAATATATGATCCCTTATCTAAGGACACGCGTATCTGATATGATCAGAGTTGACAACAGCTTTGGAAAGCTACGATTGCAGATCAGGATCTGAAGTCATACGCAGAATAGTTGTTAGACTTATCCAAGTAGGAGACTGTTGGATTAGTGTCTAAGTCCATAACTATTTTGGTATGTACTTGACCCGATGGTGCATGGTCCTTTTGGGTTGCCTTCACCAAAGCAACTTGATTGGAGAAATGAATAAAGAGAGAGAGGATAATATGATTATTAATATGTTATAAGAATATATTAAAGGAGAAATCATATTTGTTTAATTAATATTGGTCAATAATTAATTAAGAATTAGTTTTGTGATCAAATGTAATTAATTAAACTAGAGGGGCTGAATTGTAATTATGTGATAGTTACAAAATAAGGTAAGGATTATCTTATATATATGGTGACGAATTTGAGGTGTAAATCCCTTAGAATTGAGTATGATAAGGATTCAAGGATTATCTTATTGGTTGCTTAATGGATAATCAACTAGATAAGGATAATGACTGAAACCCTATCTCTACACCTATATAAACACCCCTAGGGTCATGAATTCGTGTATCCCTTCCCAAGAGGTTCTAGATACGAATTCTAACCTCTCACCTCTCTCCTTATACCTTCTCCACTTGCTTATGGTGTTGTGAGCCATTAGAGGAGTGACACTTGTGACTCTAAGCCTTCCAAAGTCAATACAAGGAGATTTGGGATTGTTATTGCTACATAACAATCAAGGTAACACTATAAACTTATTCTCATCATGTTAATATGATTATATGTATGCTAGAATTAGGGTTTATAGTCTTGGATTCAAAGCATGTACAATAGAGAAACCTAGATCCAAGCATTAGGGTTTGTATGAGCACATAGGATGTCTTATGACCAAAACCCAACATGGTCCCGCCTAGACAACATGGTCAATGTAAAAAAACATAAAACTTAATTAAAAATCAAAAGCATTTCATTAATTAAAATAAAACTTACATTAAATCTAAAATATAAAAAAGTAGAAAATTTAAAAAAAAAAAAAAAAAAACATAAACTAAAAATCAAACAAACCACCAACGACCTACGGAAAATATTTTTTCAGAATTTTTCCCTCTTCTTCATTACGAGCTCGAGAGCCGGTCCCGAGAGATGATGAGCGTTTTCCATCAAAAATTTCATGTCTTCCATTTCTTGTCTCTCCGCCTGCTCCTTTTTCCTTGTTTCTTTTTTTTTCTTTGTCGAAAGCCAAACGTTCGGAGAAATTAAGATTATATCGATCAAACGACGATGTTATCTTCCACAGTTCCTTAGTGCCCACGCTGAAATCAGATGCACTCGAAGAAGCCCCTTTTCCCTTTCTCTTCGCTTTGACCATACCCATTGGGCGGACAATTTCTTCTAGCTCGAGTTCGTCGTCCTGATTTAAATCTAGACCGACCCGAGCATCGGAGGAGGTTGTGTAACCACTAGAGTCCGTTTTCGTTCGCTTTGATTGTTGGACTCCAAAAATAAAATCCCGCTCGTATGTTATCCACCTAGGACTTCGGACCAATAATTTCCAACAATCGTGCCACTTGAAGGGTTTTCCGACTTCCTCAAGGTAAAACTGCAACGCTTCTTAAAGTATTTCTTCGTCGCCTTGGCTGCTTTTTCGTTGGGTTTTTAGGTTGTTGTACAACCCGTTAATTTTTGAAACCCCCTTGCTATTTCTCGAAACTTTGAGTTAAGTTGACGTTTAGTCCGGTAGTCGTCACATTTTCCTAGCTCCTCTCGAAATCGTTCTAAAATGCAAAACCAAATATGTTCTCCCAGTTGTGCGTTTCCCTGAATCGAATCTTCATAAATATCAACCTAAGCTTTGACCAAAACTAGCTCTTCGTGTGGAACCCATAGTGTCGGCCTTTGTCTTCCCGGTTGTGCGACACCCTCGAGCACTTGTTTTTTCCCTTTACGTCTTTGTGGTGGTGGTGTTGGTAGAGTTTCGGGAACCATGTCTTCTTCTTCCGCGTCATCCAATTCATCGACAAGTTGGTGGTGGTGTTGGGTTTGGGTTTGAGTTTCAGTTTGAGTTTGGGGTTGAGGTTAATTTGGCGATTATTGATCCGGAAACACAACAAAGTTTGAAAATATTTGCGACAGAACATTTGGAACTTGCATCGGGTAATATTGGCCAACATTTTGGTATTAGAATTGTACTGGCGATTGAATGGGAAAATCGAGTTGGGACGGTAAACTCCTTGCTGAGATGAATCGATAGCAAAAATGTTGCGAGGAGGGATGTTTATACACGAACCATGACTTTTTTTCCGTCGATTGGAACTTGGGGTTTGTTTGTCGGGATTCATTTTTTTTATATGAAGTAGAGAGTATAGAGAATAGTTTGATATGTTTAAAATTTTTGTGTATGTATTTATAGTAGTTGTAAAAGGATAATAAAAAAAAATAAATAAAAAGTAGCTGTTAACAGCCACAGGAAAAAAAAACAAATTCACTTTTTTACCGTTATACAACGGTATTTTTCGAAAAAAAACATAATAAAAAATAAATGGATCAATCACAGCAGGAGAAAGAGAGAGAGAGAGCGGGACTCTCTCCCCCCGGTTGCTTCCCACGATTCCTTTCCCGCACCCACGGTGCGGTGTGCACAGGTGCGGGATCGGTTCCCTCGCCCTTCCCTTACCCCACTCCGTCCGACCTAATAGATGGAATTCCGTTCCACCTGGTGCTCTTGTTACATTCCTGTACAGATGTTATTGACACCGATGTTGTAAAGAGAGTTCTTCCATTTGTGGTTTCTGTTCTTCAGACTTATTCAAAAGGAAACATAGATAACAAGGTGAGATTGATGCAATTGACTTATAATACCTTATGTAGTATAGGTATCCTTTTGCACTTGTTCCGTGTGTCCTTTATGGCCTTGGTTATGTTGCATAAAAAAACAGGTTTCATCTGTTGTTCCAAAAGGAAAAGGTGTTTCTTCATCTGCAACTGTAGAGGTAGCTACCATGTCAGCTATTGCTAATGCACATGGTAATTCAAATACTTCTCTTCCACCTTTAGCATCTTACTTTTTTTCATCTATACTCATTAGCAACTTAATTGTCCATTTTACCCTTACATTCAAAAATAAAATTTTCTCAATATTTTACCTATTCACTCATTTTATCCCATTAAGTCAAAAAATAAACAACTCCTTAGTTGGTTACTTTCAACTTTAAACATAAAAAAGGTTGCATTTATTTACGACTCTAGTCCCTGTACTATGTCAAAGTACCTGGATTTAGACGAGTTGTTTGATTTCTTGCAGAGATTGCCTACTTTAGTTTAGTTGAATGTTTGGTAATGCATATGTGAAGTCCATGCTAAATGACTATTTTGCCCCTGTATTCTCCATTTCCATCTCCTTCATCTTCAACAAACCCTAAATTCAAACATAATTTTAAAAAAATATAAAATGATTGGGCATTTGAGATGTGCCTCGTCTTTGTTTCCCAGGATTAAATATCAGTCCAAGAGAGCTTGCTTTACTTTGCCAAAAGGTATAAATACTTGAGACCCCCCCCCCCCCCCAAACAAAAAAAAAAAAAAAAAACCATCAGTAAAGTAGTAAAGAGATTACATTGCTTATTATTATACAAACAAGTGGAAAATTTCTCTGGTAGGAACACCATGTTAAGTGATGGACCAAATGACTTCTGCATGTGGTGAAGAAAACAAGCTTGTTGCAATGATTTGTCAGCTATATATGCATATATATGATACATCTCCTAATAAATGGATATATACATTAGATAAATATTTACCTTTAAAAGATAATATTATATCAAAATTTGTGCAACCTACTGAGGTATTGGGGCTAATGGATAGTTCTAGTCACATACAGTTTTGGGGAATTGACTCTGGAAGCTTATTATATGGGGCAAAGATCACTGGAGGTGGATCTGGTGGGACCATTTGTGTTCTTGGAAAGAACTCTCTTCAAACTAGACAAGTTTCTAGGGGTATTTTTGGAATCCATCATGGAGTACAGTCATGATGGTGATTCATGCCTTAAAGTGTTGTTTTCCATGATAAAAGTCGTTCCTATTAATGTTTTAGTTGGTCGTTTAGTTACAAAACTTCTTTCAACCTACATGAAGTTATTTAAGAAAAAGAACAAAGAATCTTCATCCTTTTAATGATCAACCTGTATAATATATTCATCTTATATGCAAATTAGCATATTTTTAGATAGACTTAACAAGGGTAAATTCGGTAAAATACAGAGTACATTGCTATTAATTTTATTATTTTAATATACATTCAGGTTGCAACCAAGATTTTGTAGGATGCAGCTCATGGAAAGAATTACAAATCAGATCAGGTTGAAAATTTACAACTTACTTCACACCTAATATTTTTCAAAGAAATTACTAAATCTTGTTATTTTTTAAAAATTTAATATTTTTGTTTTAGGATAATGGGGCAAGGAGATTATGTGATGCCAAAGTGCTTGGATTTCAATTAGAAAGAGCTTCAGGAAGAGATATCAGTATCCCAGAATGGTATACTAATGCTCAAAATGAACTTGGTTTTCGTACAGGATCACCACAATCATCTGATGATGCTAATAATAATTTTAGCTTTTTTTAGAATTCCTAAGCTCTTTTTGTTTCATTACAAGTGTATAAGTATATTAATTCAACATGATGATGAGTTTACAATATATTTGTGTAGAGTTTGTGATGAGTTTAAGATTCTTCATGGAGATGTAAAGGGTCTTCCAGACACCATTAACTTTTTGAAAAGTTTGGCTGAATTACGTGTCCCTCATTATTCTGAAAAGCCATACATAAGAGAACACAAGGCTACAGCTACTCTCTTTAACTGGGAGGTCGGTTTCCAAATTAAAATTTTATTTTTATCTTTTCCTTCAAAAAAAAACTTCTTTTTGGGGCTATTTTTGAAGAGGGCATTTATGTCTTTTACACATACGAAAGATCGAGAGTCAGTCTAGATTCTCATGTCACACTATGACTAGATTTCCTTAATGTTTTCTAATGCAAAATCAATCATGAAACTTATTTTAAATTTTATTTAGATCAGATGAAGATTGTTCTTTTTTCCTTTTTTAAGAAAGTTCCAATCTTCTTGTTGCATTGTTTACTTATACAGGAAGAGATATATGTGGCAAGGGCACCAGGAAGATTAGATGTGGTTGGAGGAATTACAGACTACTCTAGAAGCCTTGTTTTGTAGGTAATTTGTTTCTTTCTTTTTTTGTTAAATGAAACTAAACTAGAGACAGTTTTTGAGGATCTCCGTGTTTTTTATCTGTGAGATGTAACATCCGGATTTTCAGGTACATTATTTTTGTGTTTCAATTTTGAGGTTTAAGGAGAGACTCGCCAACTCAAAGGTCTGACTCGCCGAGTCGTGTCGAGTTTCCATGTGGATTTAAATGAGTGAACTCGACGAGTCAAAGGACTGACTCGCCGAGTAGGTCCTGGGCAGAAAAAACCCTAAGTTTCGGGGTTGGGGCCTATTTAAGGGAAGTTATAACCTAAGAGGTGCCTCACCAGCTGCCCATACCTCCTGTGAGAAACCCTAGATCGCCATTGGAGTAATGATAGAGTTCTTGTGATGAAATCAAGTATTTAGTGGGTCTTTTGGAAGGAGAAGAGTTTGATTCAAGCAAGAAACGAGATGGGGGCTGTGGATCTAGCACTTCTTCACTTGGGGTTGTTGTAGAAGGTATAAGCTTGCATCCTTTTTATCTATTTTGTTTAGATCTCATGATTTTGGAAGTTTTTAGGGTTTCAAACCGCTTCTTTTGTACCTATGAGCTATTTGAGACATGATCTGAGGTGGGAAACCTCAGATCTAGACCTTGTAAGGTCCTTGAAGACTAGATACCCCAACTTTAGTTTTCTGAATGAGGGCTGATGAGGTAAATCCTTCATGAAGGGCATGTAATGGCGTTTTGGAGCAATAACATCATGCATGAACGTAAATATCGAAGCTTTACGTGATTATTGAGCCTTGAGATGATAGATCTATAGTTTAGAGTGGTAGATCTGGTTGAAATCGTCTGAATGATAATGAGTCTCGATAGACTCGTCGAGTCAATGAGCCGACTCGAAGAGTCAGTTGGGGTTTTCCCGATCAAGCTGAATCGCGTGCTAACTCAGCGAGTTATGGGGTCAACTCGATGAGTTGAGCTGAATCTTCGTGAAACTTCGGAGAAAGTGGGTGGACTCGACGAGTCACAAGGGTGCACTCGCCGACTTGGGTCAAATTTGGACTATGGACTCGAATTGACTTCGTTTGACTTTAGGGTTGGGTCAACCATGTATAATGGAGACCATGGAGGGGTAAAATGGTCTTTTATCCACTTCAAGAGTTAAGCAGGGAGAGAGTGGCCCTTGGAGTATTTGAGTATGATTAAAGTCTTATTTAGAGATGTGTAACGTATGTGTTAGGAGAAGGCTAGTTCGAGATGTCCAAGTACGAGATTTATATTGACCAGCTTATGAGGTGAGTCTTCTCACTATACTTTACCTGGAATGGTAACTATGTATGACCGGAAGGTCTTATGAATATGTATGAGTTATGTGACTTATGTGATATGTTTATTGTGATATGTATATGCTTCATGAATTGGGTCGGAAGGCAAACAGACTTGGGGCCGGAAGGCAAGTCATTGTAAGACCAGAAGGTTTACCAGAGATGTGGGACCGGAAGGTCCCACTAAGACACATTGACTGGAAGGTCATACAGTGCTATAGCCTCGAGAGGCTAATATGTGTATATGGTATTTTGGGGAACTCACTAAGCTTCGTGCTTACCGTGTTCTGTGCTATGTGTTTTAGGTTTTCTCGGGATCGCGGGAAGGCACTGGCTTGATTGTACACACCAGTGAAAGAGTTATGTTTGAGGATCCAGTATTTGAATCAAATAATTTCGGAGTTATGATTTATAAATTAAATTAATGAGATTTTCGTGAAATGTGTAATGGGAATTGTGCGATTTTAAATGAAAATTTTATTTGAAAATGTACGGTGTTACATGATACTTAAAAAATACAGAGGGAGAAACAGACTATATATATAGGCTTATATGCTTTACGTATCATTTCTTCGGAAAATCAATTAGTAAAGATATTGGGAGGCATAAAACACTCTACAAACAGACAAACAAGAAGAGCTTCGCTCCCTTAGAGCACGTAAGTCTTGACAACATCCTACTTACATGTTATTTCTTATTTCTTTTTTTTTTTATTAATGCATTGGGTTTTTAGAAAATTTTCATATTTGCATATTGTACTTTGAAAAGCTATTATATAGTGTATTGAAAATGGTTTTGTATTTAGATGACACTTTTATAAATATAATTCAGTAGATATTTTAAAGTACAATGTTGTAATATAATTTTTGACCATGAAACAAAGTTTGTTAACCATTAGAAACATTATTTTTCTAAAAGGGAAAAAGTATTAACTTTTTTAGATAAATTAAATGGTTGAAAATGTATTAGTTTTCTTGAAAATTTTGCTAGTGATAATAGAGATAACTTACACTGAAAGGAATATAAGTCTGTCGACCATGAACAAGCCCACTAATGAACCCTGTGAACACCAGAAATTGGAAGCTACTTGTTACTTGGTCTTTGTGAGTTTTCTTCCAACATAACACACATTCATTTTAGATGCATTTTCTACCAAAAATGACCCTGTGATAATATATGCAGGGAACTAGGGAACCATAAATAAGCCTGGTATTGTCTTGACCGAGCAATAAGGGTAGATATGGAAGATTTAAGTCATAGATATCACTGTGCCTCGATTTATGTTGAGCTTGGAAACTATCACAAGGCTGCTAAATCATATGAGCAAATTTGGCAACTTCATCCTAAAAATCTTGAAGCATTGAAGACAACAGCAATGGTTTCGACTTTGTACTTGTTTTGTTTTCTATAATAAATATTATGCAACATTAGCAATGTGTTACATTTACTTACTATTGGAATTAATGATTATTTGTATTTGACATATTAATGCAATGAATTATCTTTATTGTTTATGGTATTTTATTTTGTGTTATGAGACTTTTAATGTGTTATTTAATTTGAAAATTAGTAAATCTATCAAAAATATATAATTTTAAAAACATTTAAAATTATGACACGTAAAAATGTGTTTCATCTTCCTTTATGACAAGGGCTTCCTTGATATGCATTGTGTATCATAAACACGCGTGTTGTAAGATTACGACACGCAAATGCGTGTCGTTTTTCTTTATGACAAGGCCTTCCTTGATACGCATTGTGTGTTATAACTCTGCATCATAAATGCACGTCATAAATAGACGACGCGCTTTTGCACGTCGTCTCTCTTTATGACAAAACCTTCCTTCATATGCATTTGCGCATCGTCTGAGCGTTTTATGACACGCATTGCGCGTTGTAATAGGCTGTATTTCTAGTAGTGCCCATTGATCCTCATTTCATAATTCCAAATTCTTGTTAATATTTTGAATGCATTGGAATTCCAATTTTACATGTATTGTCCTTCTGTGATGTCGAGGCTTCGAATCACAAAGAGTTAGCCAAGGATATTACAGAATGCTCCATTACATCTTTGTTACTAAAAACAATTCCATGAGAAGAAGTATTAGATTCAAGATACACTCCTTGAATACCTTCCTTGCATTAAAGTTTCCAACTCACATATAGATTTTTAATAGTCAACTCTCAATATGGAAACATTTCGATATTCCCATATAACCATTAATTTTGACCAAGAATCATCCTAATCTAAAACATGTCACTATGGTCCTTCCAACCAATACCATACTTGTAACTATCTACAAGAAACCAATCCTTTGGTGTAACCTCAGAATGTTCTTAACAATTGTTTAACAACATTAGTCACACAATGTTCTAGTGCTTTCTCCTCATAATGCCCAAGGCATTTAGAAAAATCAAAACAAGCAAATGTTATAGGATATGCAATCGATCCTATATCCAAAGCATATGGGACTCAATTCATAATGTCTTACATAAAGACATGCTATCTGATCAGTCTCTTACTATAATGTCACACCCCCAAACCAAGAACGGCAGAAACGTTCTGGGGCAGAGGATGTCATGTACAGTATCACAACACATTATAGTAGTAAACAAGTAAACAACATCATCCATTGCATTAAATATATAATTTTAATACAAGTGTGTTATGTAGTATATAAGACACCAAAACATGAATCAAAATATAAGATGAGTCTTGTATGTGCTCCATCTTCTCAAAAGCTGGCATTGGTACCTGTCTATTGATGACCTGAGAATACAAGTTATTTTGAAAGCGAGTATTAGCATTAAAGTTGGTGAGTTCATAAGTATTTAGTGTCTATGTTTGTATCAAAATGTTTGAAACAGTGTTTGAAGTACGAGTTTGTAAACGTTTGTAGTAGAAGTACGTGAATGTTTGTAAGTGTTTGTAAAAGTTTGTAACTCCTAGAAAATCCTATATTTTCTACTAAAAGTAGCCTTCTACCAAGGCACAACTGTTTTGTATGTTTGTTTCTTGTAAAAGTGTGTAATTTCCCCAAGTGTAACTATCATTATCAAAATATAGTTTGTACATTAATGTTTAG